GCGGCGGCCGTGTCGCTCTTCTCGAGGCCCGTCGGGGAGCAGGTGGAGGAGGCGCCCGGGCCCGGGGACTGCGCGGCCTTCTACGAGCCCACGCTGGACTGCACCATCCGGCTGGGCCGCGTGTTCCCCCGCGACGTCAACTGGAACAAGTGGAGCCACTTTTAGAAACTCCAGAAGGCCCCGGAACGGGGCGCGCGGGGCACCGGACCCCCAGGCTCGGGTGGCCTGGGACCCCTCCTCCCTCCGCAGAGGGGTGTCCCTGACCCATCTGGGGGTGGCCGCCCCGGGCGCTGAGCCCCTGCCACCCACCCCGCGGGGCTGTGCAGTGTGCCCAGCGCACAGAGACTCCGCGTGCCACCAAAGGAGGGGCCCCCACCCCGGCCCACGCGGGGCAGCTTCCCTCTACCCGCGCCCAGAGGGGAGCTCTGCGGTTCGGGGGTTCATTTGGTTTAGTGTGTTCTTTTCCTTGTTTAGAGATCAGTCTCCTAGCATGTTTGTATTTATTTTTAATTCAAGCGAAGTCAGAGACACGTAGTGTATTTCCTGAGCCGTCGTGGGCCCCCGCATGGCTGCCGACCGCCGCGTCGCAGCACAGGTGCCCGCGGGCCTTCGGTGGGCACAGCCCCCGGACCCCCAGGGGCCCCACCGGCCGGGCCTGCCGCCGCCCGGCTCTCCTGCAGTTCTCGTCAGTTCATGTTTAAATTTTTAGTTCATTCCCAACATGTTAAAAATGTAGAGTTTTTACATCTTGAAAAAGCAATCCGAGTCCTATCTTTTGAAAAATGGAAAGTTCTGGTAACAGGGGACTTGCGCTCTGTAGGACGCCCAGAAGTGTTGGGCAGAGTCCCCCCCCTCCCGCCTGGTATGGTGTAGGGGCTCCCCACCAGCACCCCTGCCTCTCCTGCCCACGGGTCTTGTTCTGTGTGTGTGTCCGTGTGTGCACACACGTGTGTGGAGTGTGAACCCGGGGCCTGGGTGCTGTCCCTGAGCTTTTTCTCTCAAGGCTGGCGCTCTACCACTCGGGCCCCAGCTCCACTTTTGGTTCTGAGTGGTTCATTGGAGACAGGAGTCTCGGCCCTTCCTGCCCAGGCTGGCCTCAGCCTCCCGAGTAGCTGGGATCGCAGGCGGGAGAGAGCATTGCAGTGAGCCCAGACAGGGCACCAGGCCCCGCATCCTGCGCCTCACCCCCGGGCTCGGCCCTGGGAGCCTGCCAGAGTCTTCCTCGCCTGGCCCCGGCCTCCAAGGCTGCTCCAGATCGGGTTCTGTCTTCCCAAGGCTCCACGTGACTCCGGGGCCCGGACCCGCTGTGCCTGCGCGTGCGTGCGTGCGTGCGTGCGTG